ACAAATGTGCTTTACACAATTGATGTATGTATGGATTGTGATGAGTTGTATGAGCCCCTAATAAATTTTTTTTTTTTTAAAAGAATTCATGAAAAGTTTTCATACTAACATTGTTTGATGGTTACCAGGGGTGGCAGGAAGGAAGTCTGGCGGCATAGTGGTTATGCATTGGACTGCTAACTGCAAGGTCCACAGTTCTAAACTACCATAAAGACCTAGTCTTGGAAACTCACAGAGGCAGTTTTATCCTGTCCTATAGGGTCACTCTGAGTCAGCACTGATTCAATGGGAGTGAGGGGTGAGAGGAGATGGAATCAAAAAGTCATAGACTAGACGGTAGATAAATATTAAGCTGGTGAGGGGGAAGGCAGTACATAAGGAGGGCGAGGTTAGGAAAAAATAATGGTGGCGGGAGGAAACACTGGGAAGTTTGCCAGAGTTAAAGGCAACAGAGATAAATATTATATAAAGAGTCTTGCACTAATGGGATCGATGAGTAGTACTTGCATAAACACAAATACTGAACAGGGAGTGGCTATGTTTGACAGAGGATATCTGTATATGTGTTTTTACTTTTGCTGCAATATATCCATGAATGTCATAAAGCATACAGAGGCAAAGTTATGAAAACTTAGACATAACCAAACATCTTGTGGGAATGAGTCCCAGTTCTGAGGAGTCAGGATCATGGTGTCTGGAGATACCAAGGTCAACCAGCATAACATAGTTCACACAAACAAAGTTCTACATTCTACATGGATTAGTAGTGATTGGGGTATTGAAAGCTTGTGAGCAGCCATCAATTGGTCTCTTCCTGTCAATAGGAACAAAAAAGAATGAAAACCAAAAGACAAACGGAAACAATTAGTCCAATAAACTAGTGAACCATGCAAACAGCAGTCTCCACAACCCTAAGATAAGAACGAGCTGGCATCTGGCTACCACTACTACCTGTTCTGAAAAGGATCATATTAGAAGGTCCTGAATAGAATAAGAAAAAATATAGACCAGAACTCAAAATCAGGCCTACTAATGGGATAGAAACTATGACTATAATCAAGAAATGTGGCCCTTCCTCTTTCAGTATGTAACTGAACTTATCTTCTATTTAGAATAATCAACCATGTAACATCAAAAGGGCAGCATTTACCCAAGGACAAAATTCACAGGAATAGGAAAGGAGAAATGAAAACAGAAAACACAGGAAGATAGTGTGGTGAGCAATGGTACATTGAGGAAATGCATTCAATGACTGCATTCAATCAGAATGCATATGAAGTACTGAATGTAAAGCTGATGATTTGCTCTGTAATCCTTCATCTACTTCACAATAAAATGTTTTAAGAGATTGAAAAAAATAAGCCATAAAATGAGAGTATATATGTGCAAATCTGGTAAGGCATTAATATCTAGAATATAGAGAGAGCTCTTATAATCTAATACCTGAAAAGCAGGCAACCAAATTAAATTATGGGCAAATATTTGAACAGACATTTCTCCATGAGATCCTCTCATTAAAAAACAAGAATGGAAAATAACTGTTTTAGAGGATGTGGGAAAATTGGAATGTGAGACTATTGCTGGTAGGAATGTAAAAAATGTACAAGAACTGTGGAAAAGTTTGTCATTTCTCTAAAAATTAAAGAGAATTAATTATTAATTAAACAGTATTCCCAGAATTTCTATTCCTTGGTATATTCCGAAGGGAATAAATCAGGAAAAATTAAGTGAAAAGATAATGGAGTTTTTATCTGGGACATTTTGAAACCTCCTCTATAAGGAAACTGATACAAACATTTATGGAGAATAATTGTGAGGACATATAGTCCTTTCAATTCTTCAGATATTGAAAGTTTTATTCTTAGATCAAGCAGGGCCATAAGAGACCTATCTAATCAAACATCAAGGTTAGATCCCTTGTAAAGTATGTGAACTGCATTCTGCTGGAAATATTCTTAGTATGGAACACAAAATGAATATATTGCATTTATTTCAGGATTATTGTTAGAAAGTTCAGAGAAACTTTTATAACAATTTTGATAACTATAAAATTAAAACCCTTGGATTTAATTTTGCTACTTTCTCTGCTTCTGATTTACTACTATAGCTATGAAGGAGCCCTGGTGGCATAGTGCTATACATTGGGCTACTAACCAAAGGTCTTCAGTTCAAAACCACCAGCCTCCCCGCAGAAGACAGATGAGGCTTTCTACTTCCATAATGATTTGCAATCTTGGAAACCCACAGGGGGATGTTCTACTGTCCTACAGAGTTGCTACCAGTCAGAATCAACTCAATGGCACTTAGGCTTTAGTTTGTTGTTGTTGTTATTAGGTACCACTGAGTAGCTTCCAACTCACAGTGAACCTACAAACAACAGAATGAAACACAGCCCGATCCTGCAACACGCTCACAATTATTCTTATGTTTGAATCCATTGTTGCAACCACTGTGTCAATCCATCTTGTCAAGAGATTTCCTCTTTTTCACTGCCCCTCTACTTTACCATGCACGATGTCCTTCTCCAGGAACCAGTCTCTTCTGACAACATGTTCACAGTATTTCAGACAGTCTCGCTATTCTTGCCTCTAAAGAACATTCTGGTTATGCTTTTCCAAGACAGATTTGTTTGTTCTTTTGACAGCCCTTGGTACTTGCAATATACTTCTCCAGCACCATAATTCAAATACATTGATTCTTCCTGGGTCTTCCTTATTCAAGGTCCAACTTTCATGAAGTGACTAAAAAATAAGATGGGTCAGGCTTGAGTCAGGTGCACCTTAGTCCTCAAAGTAACATCCTTGCTTTTGAACACTTCTAAGAGGTCTTGTGCAGCAGATTTACTCAATACGAAGTGTCGTTTGATCTCCCGAATGTTGCTTCCATTGCAGATTCAAGCATGATGCAATCCTGGGCAACTTCGATCTTTCCCGTGATTTTTGTTTACTATACCTATACTTCCCTTAATGGTAGTTTTTGCCAGCTTCTACTTCTCCATTTAAAATGTTAATCATTATAAACTTCAAAAAATCTATTTTAAAATATATTGGGAATAAACAAGAAATCTCACCTGAGATTTGTTCATTTTCTGCTCTTCTTGGTGCTGGGAGAGAAGAAAAGAAAACATTAAAGAGATCTGGCTGTCCTTGGAACTCATGGATTCAAATGCCTGCATAATTCTATATACGAGATATGTTCATGAGTGATTATTTGCTAATCTTAGACATGGAAATTTTCACTGAGTGAAAGTAAACATCTGTTTCTTATTAGCATATACTACCAATTTTAGGTTTTGTAACACAGAAAAATTAAAAATGGGATAGGATGAGTTTAATAAATAACAGTAATCTAAGGAGGAAACATTATGGCTTTTCCATACTGGTAGATGAAAAAAAATAATCAAACTGTAATGTATTTATCTATTTCCCTGTTCATACCATTAATCCTTTGAGGTCTGATAATGCAACAAAAATCTGAAAAATGGGATTTTTTACAGCAAAGAAAGGCTTACAGCAAAAGAAAGTTTTTCTTAAATATTCACTCTAACTTCCTTTTAATTTTTCAACAGAATTTTTTTGGTGGGGGTTCTACAGAGTCAACAAAATCTTTTAATAAAGTAACTTTGATCTAACAATAGCAAAGCATACAGCAATGACCCAGTAATAACAAACCAGACTTCCAATTTTGGTTCTGCACTGTGTGATCTGAATCACTTGATACTAAAAAAAAATGTTTAATAACATAAAAAATAAAGAAATACCTAAGTATAAAAGGATTATACTACACTACTATTCTGTATTAAGAACCTCAGCATCCGAGAGCAGCTCCCTTCCTCAGAGTAGAGAAAATGAGGGATATGGGCGGGGCGGGAGGGGAGATAGGGAGATATAACTATGGAAGGGTGATGACATAATTTCCATAGCTGTGGCTGTTACCAGCCTTTCATCCTGAACCATGCCCTCACAAACTTTCCAAAGAGGTGATATTTCCTGTGAAATCTGCCTAGTGCCCAGATAGCCTTGAGCTGCTCTAGTTTGCCTCTCTATTCTTAAAAAACGTGCCCTAGGTCTCCCATCATGGATGGCTTCTGAATACTGTGCTCCAAATAAATATAACAATACATTAATATATAATAAACACTAACTTGAGATCTAGGAATGTTAGAGTCAGGAAAGGGTTTTAGTAGCCAGCTACTCCATCTCCTTCACCACTCTTCTGTTTAAAATGTGAGGAAATTCGTGCACATAATTTATGTACGGGATGTGGCTAATTAATATGGACCTGCTAATCATAATCTCTTTTATGATGTATTATAAATTCTAGCTTCTATAACTGTGGTTATAATCCTATTTGGGGAGATCTTTGTAATGCTAATGGAAAAACTGAAGTAGGGTATATTCTGAATCTCTACCTCATTACAAGGTGTAAACCAAGTCACTACCCTTTGTGTCCTTAGTTATGGTAGAGTGAAAGGCAAAAGACGCACCTCCACATGAAAAACAGAATTACTGGCATGATCAAGGAAAAGATGCCACAACTCCCAGTCCATAAATCCCTGGCTGAAGTGGCAGAGGTAGCAGATGCTATGTGCCACCAAGACCAGAGGCTGAAACAAAGAAATGATGAGACAGAGGAGCAGTGAGGAAAACTGAGGTATGCATTGGATAGGCTTCCTGGTCCGCAGAAGCAAAAGACAAGAGAGACCACAGATATACTTGGCTGCTGGCTGAGAAGTGATGCTGTAGACCACAGACTGTATCATACCTTAATGTTTTCTGATCCTGGCATGTGGTAACCTGTCAGCCAACCTAATAAACTCCCTTAATCATGAGCACTGTCTATGAGTTCTGTGTGGTCACTGCAGTGAATTATCAAATCCAGCAGAAAAATAGCGTGCTGTGGTGGAAATGGTTGGTGTCAGAAAAGGGTAAAAGAAGGGTGCAGGGTACATGCATAGCTGACCTTTGCCTGTGGCAATTGGCCTTGGGAGATGTGGGGATGAACTCTCCTCCCTTGGGTAGCCAGAGGAGGTCAGATGTGGCCTCTGAACTATTTACTCAATATATCTGATTTTTCAAACTTTAAGTCAGCTAGAGTCAAATAGCCATTGGGTTTAAGAAGTGTCTAGCAAAATGCTTTCTTCCTGCAAGCCTCTCCTAAAACTAACCTCAATGCTGTTTAGTCAATTCCAACTCTTAGCAACCCTACACAGTGCAGGTAAAAGCTGAATCTGTGTGATCTCGGAAATACATCCTCAGACCCCCACTTTTACGGTGACATTTCCAAGCATGAAGCTTATGCTTGTACTTTGAAAACAGAGCTTCAGAATGTCTTCATTGTTTCACATGCACCAGAGGCATTAAGCCTGAAGTTTTCCTGGAGGAAACTGTAGCAGTTGGAATTGTATGTATAACTATAATAAGGGCATTTTATCCTTTCAAAAATACACCCTGTCCCTGTTGCCTATTCTCCCAAGACACTGAAAATGTAGTTCAGAAGTTAAACCTTTTTGTGTTTTTCCTGCCTAGTTATGATTCATACAAAGCAGCTGAAGGCAATTAGATTCTGTAGTTCAAAATTGGGTACTATTAGCTTGAAAGGATGGATGGATGAATAAACGTGTAAACTGCAGGCAATGTCCCTATTGTGTAGGAAGTGAAATGCAAGGTAGCATATGCTAAAAAGGAATTGGTGATGCAGATATCTAAGCATATGGTGGATGCTCAATAAATGCTTGCCTAATATTGATCCTGAGTCTACCAATAACAGTTGCCATGTAGTCTATTCTGACTTATAATGAATAATCCCTGGTTTATCAGGGTAAAACTATGCTCTATAGTTATCAAATAAAATGCCCAAGTTCAACAGGACCCTCCCACAAGACTATAAATTACATACAAAAGCAGCTAACAAAATGTAAATGCTCAGAACCACCCAAAGCAGCAAGTATTCCTGATATCCCAGTTTTACATATAATGAAACTAGTGTCAAACGAGCGAGTTACCCAGCCTGAATAATTCATTTCCTCTGGCTGTGCTTCGAGAAGCCCTGGTGGTGTAGCAGCTGTGTATCGGGCTGTGATTCCAGCAGCTCCAAGGGATTAAAAGACGGGGCTTTCTACTCGTTATGAGTCAGCATGGACTCGATGACAGTGTGTTACGTTTTATTTTTGTTTTGTTTTAGGCTCTGAGAAGCGCACTCTAGCTTCCTCTCAGCCCCGCCCCTTCCAGCGGTTCCAGTACATGCATCACGCACACGTCCCGTATCCACAACGTCCACAAACTCTCCAGCGCAGTCCCCCTCCGTTCGCCCGACCCACGGTGTACGCACGCGCACGCCCCGCTTGGGGCCCACAAGGCTGCCAGGCGCCCGGCGCTGCTGGAAGAGCGGGCCACGTGCGGTCCTTCCCATAGTTTTGTGCTAGCACGCCCGGCGGCCCCAGGAACCGAGACGCTCCCTTCCGCCACCCCTCAATCCCTGAGGGCGTCGCAGGCGTTGGGGAGCTGGCTTGGAGGTCTAGGCTTCCTCCTAACTCCAGGCAGTAACCACCTCGGCCTGCTCCCTATGCCGGGCACCATCGCCCGCTCTAGCCTCTAGTACTCACCTGCCCTCTCAAACCGCGTGGACACGGATGCGGAGGTTTATTTCCCAAGAGGAAACCGTGGCCTAAGAAGGAGACGCGGTGAGGGCGGAGAAGGGGGAGGGGAGCGGGAAAGGCGGGGATACACATGCGCAGAGGGACCAAGACGCCGCACCGTCCCGGTGATAGAGCTAGGGCCAGACCGGCTGTAGCCAATAGAGAAGCCCACGGTAACGTCCCTGCCATTGCCTCTCTTTATTTAATGGTAAAGTGAAACTAATAATTCTCTAAATAATTTTTTAATAAATAACTCGATCTAACAATGATAGAGCAGACTTATAGCTACCCTATAGAACTGAGTAGAACTGCTCTCTAGGGTTTCTGAGGCTGTAAATCTTTGAGGGAGGAGATACAGTGAACCCTCGTTTATCGCGGTTAATCGGTTCTAGACCCTACCGTGATAAATGAAATTCCGCGAAGTAGGATTCCTTATTTGTAGATCAAATATTTTCGTAGTTAAAGCATAGAGGACATGAAAAAACACCCTTTAGTCACCATTACACTCGTATTACCCAATTTATTAAACGAAAAAGGGAAAATACAGTAAAACATTTTGGACGTTACAATTATCATTTATTATTTATTATATTATTTATGGCATCAAGCGTGTACAGTATGAACCAATCAGTGGCAGTAATGACAGAGCATGCGCTGTTACGCAAAAACCGCGATAGAGTGAAGCTGCGGAAGTCGAAGCGCGAAGTGGCGAGGGTTCACTGTAGTCTCATCTTTAGCAGAGGAATTGATTAGAACAGTCAACCTTGCAATATGATGCGATAAAGATTTACAGCCTTAGGAACCCCATGATGCTGTTCTACTCTACCCTATGGGGTTGCATTGATTCTGAATCAACTACATGGCAGTGGGCATGGTATTGGATTTGGGCCTGTGCCAATAGTTTAGCACTCAGCTAATGACAGAAAGATCTGTGGTTTGAGCCCATCCAGAGATTCTTCCAAAGAAAGGCTTGACAACCTACTTCCAAAAATCAGCCTAATGAATGTGTTAGCTAGACAGGCAGGGCCAAAGGGAGGAGAGGTGATGATGGCAGAAATCTGAAAGAAATCATAACACAAAAAGAGAGAGGGAGATCAGTTTCCCCACATACCTCTCCAGCACGTAGGAAAGAGAAGAGCAGAAAGACACTTTTTTTTTTCATCAATGTAGGAGACCAGAGATAGTGAAAAGGATGGATGCAGAAAGACAGGATGCTCAATTACCCCCACAATGACTGAATCAACTCTTGGGTTTGGGGGTTTGGAGAACAAAGGCACAGAATGAAGTCTGGGTGCAGGGGTACAGGGATGCATACACCTTGAAAGAGGAGGTACACTACAAAGGGCCAATAAATAGCAGAAGACTCACCAGAAAGCCAGCCTATGGTGGGACATCTATTAACATAATAAAAGTTTCAGCTCTACATTCTACCAGGCCTTTTGGACAAGCTAAAAGCTTTTTGGATCCCTTGTGCCATAGTGGTTATGAGAGGCTGAGATCCATAGGGTCTGCAGTTTAAAACCACCAGCTCTGTAGGAGAAAGATTTTCTACTCCTGTAACTATTTAGTCTCAGAAACAGACAGCAATCTACTCTCCTATATGATCACTATGAGTCAGCATCAATTTAATGGCAGTGAGTCTGAAGGGCCTTTGGACATCTTTTCCAAAGTATCCCCTTCAATAAACTCTCTCTTGTCCACGCCTTTTCTCTGACTATAGTCTGAATTTTGTCCCTTGCCTAAAAATGTTTTGTGCAAACAGGACAAGAACCTATAAACTCGCTGCCATTAAGTTAATTTTGACTCAAGATGACCCTATAGGATAGAGAAAATGGCTCTTGTGGGTTTCTGAAACTGAAAGTGACAGGCAGGAAGATTAGGTGAAAAGGGGTTATCTCCACCAAAAGCCTATGCTACACAAAAGCCTATGCTACACAAATGCCTATGCTACACAAAAGCCTATGCTACACAAAAGCCTATGCTACACAAAAGCCTATGCTACACAAATGCCTATGCTACACAAAAGCCTATGCTACACAAAAGCCTATGCTACACAAAAAGCTTTGCATGCTTTCCAGAGATCCTGTGTAGTATTGGAGACTGTATTACTTGAAACTTCCTTTTTTCCTCATAAAGCTTACTTGGACTTACAAGAGTGCTTCTGCTACATGATTTCTTTCAGTGTTAAGAGGCAAGAACCAGGGGAACCATTCCCCAAACCTAACAAGTAGAAAACCTCATTTGTCTCCAGATGGGCTGAATGGTTTTGAATTTGAATTTCCAACCTTCAAGTTAGCAGCCCAACATATAACCCACTATGCTGCCAGGGCAGCCTTAAAGCACAGTTTTAGTTCCCATTTTAAAGTCTTTTTGTAGCCCCAAATTACTTCATGATATTAAACAAATTCATTTTACTAAACATAGTTAGTCTAATTTACACCATCTCTTCCTTGACCAGTGTGATAGGTTTATTGTGCCAATCTGGCCAATAGGAACATGTGGGATTAATAAGGTCGCAGTTTGATTGGAGGACAAAGAGATAAAAGGCTCGACAAGGCCCACCCCTCTTTCTTGCTCTATGGTGATAGACCAGCTTGTGGCTGCTTTAGCTAGTTCTCTGCCTCAACTTATGAGCTACACTACCTGTGAGACAGTCAACAAGTGCATCCTGTCGCTAGAGCTTGAAGTTCCTTCAAGACCTGCTTCACTATGCTACTGGTGTATCATCGCTTGAACTTGAGGCTGGAGGATCCTGTCATCTTGCAGTACTTGAATTTGATATCCCATCCATCATATATATATATAAAATCATAAGTGTCCTGGTTTTCTTTCTCTAGACAACCCTGTGTAACACACTCACTAAACTACAAACCAGGGCTCCTGTTTTTATATTTTCAGCAACTTATTGATGGGGTAATTATAAATGTGCTAAAATATTTGAATTATGGTAACACAATAAAGTCCACAGAAGATATCAGTAAGGAAAAACTGAAATGACTAATTGTGGTAGTCACATAATCTGTTGTCAATTTGAGACTATTAAGAGTGAAGGGGTGGAGTTTAGCCTGTTAATCAAGTTGCAGCTTGATGATCTAATTTGGAGGCACTAAGGAGATAAATAGCTTGCGGGAGGCAGGACACGCACTTGCTCCCTGTGAGACATTCCTGTTGACAAGCCACTTGGAATTAGGCTGAAGGTAGTCAGAGCCTTGGAGTTGGAGGAGCCATGTGGAGACTCATGCCAGTGCTAAGATGCTTCCACTGCCAATGGATCCACAAGACTGCCCACCTACTATCCTGTGATCTTCCTGTATTCAACATCATTGTATGTGTTGCATGAGTCTGAAGAAGAATTTACAGAGTGGTTCTGGACTTAGGGGCTAATTTTGGACTTATGGACTTGATCTGCACGGGGCTGGGATGTTTTCCTAATGTACCATTACTCTTTATATAAAACTCTTTCTTTTACACATATGAGTATCTATGAATTAGTTTCTCTAGTCTACCCAGACTAACACAACCAGAATCTAAAATCTCATTGGAATTTTTAAAACTTTCTACATTGCTCAGAGGCAAATCAGATGTAAATGTTTCTGGAAGATCCAGAAAGTGTTCAAACTAAATGCTATCTAGTTAGTCAACAGACACATGCTGAGATCTTTAGGAATTTGTTGTTCCATCTACTTGTTCAGGGTCAGTAATTGTTTCCCATAATTATCCTGAAAAATGAGTTAATGTAAAACATCTGTATGTGACTACTCCAAAGTGTGAATTCCAAAGTAAGAAGCATATAATCTCCATGTATTCTGATATTAAACAGGACAAGCCTGTGTTGTCAATTTTCCGTCTTAGGATACTTTCTAATAAACCTTCTATTTTTCTCTCTGACTTGCAGTTAGTGAATTGGTTCTACTCCTCCTTAATAGCAGAATATTGACATGGGTCTATAGTTTAGACTCTAGAATCCATGTTGAATTTATTTAACTTTTCAATTGTGAATTGTTAAAGACTTACAATGCAAATCTGTTTTCCATTCAACAATTCATACACATTTTGTTTGTCATTGGTTGCAGTCCCCACAATCGCTTATTCCACTTCATCTCTGTGGCTTCTGTTTCCATCCTACCTTCTTTCTTAACCTTCCTGAATTTTGTTCTTGGGTAAATGCTGTCCTTTTGATCTCAAATAGTTGATTATTCTCAGGTGGTGTGCATATAACCATAGTGTTATTGTTCCCCTGATAGAACTGTTTACGGTTTGCCTGAAGATTGAGGCATGGAAGTGAGTTTAGTCCAAAACCTGAGGAGTTTAGCCAATGACTGTAGTCTGAGGAATTCTCCAGTCTCTATCCAATTTAGTTATTTTTATGATTTTGAGTTTGGTTCTACATTTTTCTCCCACTCTACCCAGGTTTTTCTAAAGTGATTCTATTCAGCAAGTGGTAGTGGTATTTGGACACCATCTAGTTCTTATATTCTCAGGATCATGAAGGCCAAGGTTTGCTGCATTCATTGGACAAACTTTCTACACATCTTTTATTTTCTTCACTCCTATTTGCTCCAGACAGAAAGTGAGGAATAGTTGCATCTCAAATGACTGCTCTCAAGTTTTAAGACCTCAGTTCTTTTTTAATTATGTTATGCCAGTTGATCTTGATATCCCCCAAGACTATGGTCCTTAACCATCAGGCCTAACAACAAAGTGTTTGCAACTTAAGAAGTTTTCATAATTTCCCCCCTATATGTGTTACTGTATTCATAGATATGTTTGCAGCTATGTAAATATAAATAGAAATATTTTCTGTCATATATATACAAAAATATTTATATATTCTTCTGACACCTGTTCAGCTTGCTTGTATAACTATGCATCACTTGTAGATTATTGTTATTGCAAGATTGTACATGTAATAGTTTTTACCTTGGTTACCTTAGCTCTTGTACTTCTCCCAGTATCTTCCTTTACCTTCATTATCTTTTTCTCACTTCCCTCTTATTGTGCTTTCTCTAACTTAGTGTATATCTACCCTCTATTTAATAGTTTACTCCTT